TTGTTTTTTTTTTCATATATGATGTTGAAATCCTTGTGGGAATTTCAGAAATATATATTAGAAAATAAAGGCGTCAAGCTTGAACAAATTTATAAACACCTAGCTTATTACAATTAATGTATCATGTAATGAACAACAGCCTAATCAACCAAAGTAGCATAACCTTTTAAGTAAAACTGAACAACATATTAAACAACATATTTTAAATATCGCAATGCTTAATAATAGTTGACAGACGTTTGTACATTGTAAATGTTTAAAATGTTTTTCAAAAGATTGTACTTTTCCAAATATTAAAATTATGAATACATAAATATTTAAAATATAACCATGTGTACGCCTACTGCAATATAAAGTACATTAAAAACCCACTAAAAGTGTAATCATTTTGTTATGTTCTTACACAAAGTAGAATAAAATATACTTTAAGTAAGGGTAACATAAGCATGTTTTCTGTAAATACACTAAAAAGTCACTAAAAGTATGCTTGTGTTTAGTATATCCCTTAAAAGTGTAACTAAAGTCTCGTCGCCCCGGCCGGACAGGGCATCATCACAATATGGTAGGGCCGTAACATTTCCGTCACACGCTTGAGGTATTCGGCCAATCACAACACACTGGATAGCTGACCAATCTGAGCACACCTCGCTTTTCAGACCGATGAGCTTTGTAAAAATCGTCGCGTTTCAGAAAGGCGAGGCATAGAGGAGAAACAATAATGTACAGTATGTGGAAAAATAATGTTTTTTGAACCTTAAACCGCATAAACACATTTCATTACACCAAATACACAAAATAATGTTATTTTTAGCAACATCATATCACCCCTTTAAGTAACCTGGCATATAACTATCAAACATCTGATACAACTTTATATACTGAACACAAAAGAAGATATTTTGAAGAACAGCTGATGATAGCCATTGACTTCCATAGTATAAAAAAAAATTATGGTCAGTGGCTACAGTCAACAGTTTGGTTACCAACATTCTTCAAAATATCTTTGAGTAAATGACAATTTTCATTTTTGGGTGAACTATCTCTTTAACATCAGTTCCAGTCATGTCAGTCATATTCTCAGGCTGTGATGACATTTCTGTGAGTCAGACCTGCAGTACATATTTAATAACACACTAACACCTTCATTTGTTGTTCGTAATAAATTATTAAAAGAAAACAGTGGGGAGGACAGAAAGACACATTATCCTCTTCCATAGACACTAAAGAGCAAGATTTGCTGTCAAATCTTGACATCAGAACCAAGGCTCTGAATGTCAGGAAACAAACACCATTTTAGTCCATGTTACTAAACACAAATCATCAGAATAGGAAGCAGTTTGAGTCAATTCGCCCTTCAGTGATTCTGGAACAACTGCTGCATACAAATACACCAGTGTAACACACACATTCTGGTATTCAAGACAGGAGCACATTACACAATACTGACACAAATACAATAAAAACATACTATTAATCATCTGATTATAATGGAAGGATGATAAAACGGAAATAGATGATGGCTTACCCTTCTCCTGTCTGTCTGTGAAGGTGAGCAGTGAGTTAGTGAATCCTTCTCCTTTCACGATGCAGTGTCTTTCCATCCCTCCCTTTTTCTTTCTCTCACATATATGCACACACACACACACACATCCCATTCATAATTTCACAGACAAGTATACACATCCACCAGCCCAGTCACGAACACACACTACTGATGAGTGTAAGAGAATGATGAAGGTGAGACAGAGAGAGATGAAGGGCTGGAAACAGTTGAACACTAAAATGCATACAAATGTGACCGTTTTTGGCAATATTTAATGACATAAAGCAACCTTTTTATTGTTCAAATCAATGTGTCTGATTAAAACGTCAAACTTAAGTCTCAGGATTATTGAAAACAATGTGAAATGACGAAAAATGTATTTTAAAATATTTTCAGTTGGCGAGTAATCAAGAGCAAATGAGTTACATTGATGCTGCTATTGAAGTAAATGGGGGACAAAATGTTTGTTTGCCTTTCTAGGGATAAAGTCTGTGTGTGTATGTGTATATGTATATGTATATATATGTATATGTACACTGAACAAAATTATAAATGCAACACTTTTGTTTTTGCCCCCATTTTTCATGAGCTGAACTCAAAGATCTAAGACTTTTTCTATGTACACAAAAGGCCTATTTCTCTCAAATATTGTTCACAAATCTGTCTAAATCTGTGTTAGTGAGCACTTCTCCTTTGCCGAGAGTATCCATCCACCTCACAGGTGTGGCATATCAAGATGCTGATTAGACAGCATGATTATTGCACAGGTGTGCCTTAGGCTGGCCACAATAAAAGGCCATTCTAAAATGTGCAGTTTTATCACACAGCACAATGCCACAGATGTCGCAAGTTTTGAGGGAGCGTGCAATTGGCATGCTGACTGCAGGAATGTCCACCAGAGCTGTTGCCCGTGAATTTAATAAATTAATCAAAATTAAAAAAAAGAGCAATTTGACACACACTCATATATACACACACACACACATAGAGTACATATACTGTGTGTATATATGTGTGTGTGTCAAATTGCTCTTTCTTTAAATAAATTCAATTACAATTAAAATTTTCTTAGGGATAAATATCTACCTCTGCTTACGCTTAAAATGATTAAGGTTACAATTAACAACAGAGCTCAAAATTAACTAGCCTACACATAATGCAGTTTAGTTTTTAAATTAACTTCTAAATTACAATACAATTTTTATTTGTTGTTGAAATATATTCATTTACACAGTGGCATAGTGGCATAACACGTTTCATAACATTTATTTAAACCTACATTAAATAATTAAGACATCACTAACAGGTAAAGTAAAATCTAATGAGTACATAGTCTAATATTTCACAAATGTTCTTAATTTCTCTAGCGAACTAACAAGCTGTGGACAATGATGATTTGCCAGAGGTAAATGAAATGCTACGTGACATTTTGTTTTGACGTCTTTCTGCGGTTGAAACACTGATTGAGTGATTACATGAAGCATGAGTTGTTCATTCATGTTTATTTCGCATTAAAATTAGTAGTAAAGAGGAAAGGATGATCGCTCACTCGCACTCCGTGCTGCCGTTTGAACGGAGGCGTTTATACAGCTATCTGTCGCGCCACATCAAAGAGCATCAAAACAGCATTTATTGTTTGAATTTCCTGGAAAAAAAAATGGACATAATTTTAAAGATGAGACTTTGCTTCATATCAAAAGTAACAATATAAAACAAAGCTCCACTTGTGCAGTGGTTAAAACAATGCCGCATTTGTTCAATAGGCCTACACGTGTACCGATACACAATACACAGGTTATTGGGTTTTTTCCCATTCAGCATTATATTTTCAGTGTTAATAACTTTAAGGTGAGTTGTCTATTTGTGTTTAACTTTCATCTAATATTTATATTTTAGTTATCAAAATATTTTAATTATCAAAAATTAGTTTTAATAGTTTTAATGACAACACAGTAATGCTGCCCTTATCAACTGTATTTCAGACAAAACGAATCTGAGACAACCATATCAGAGAGGAAGTGACACATTCTACACACACTAGAGAAAAACAGCAAAAGACTGATAATGTGGCTTCATTGCTCTAGTTGAAATTACAGTACATGACTCAATATCAAAGTAGAGATGCATTTAAAGGAAATGTAATGATCTTTTACTCACGCTGTTCTAAACCTGTATAACTTTTTGTAAGAGGTAAGGACACATTTTGAAGGTTCACACTGCTCTTTGCTCATACAGTACCATGAAAGCCTGCATGACTTGAGAAGATCTGGAATATAGCATGGAACTTGTTTACTCCGGTTTTAGGTAACTGGACTCTTACAATTTACTTTTCTCACAACTGCGAGATATAAAGTCAGATTTCATACAGTTTTGGACCGACATGGAGTGGAAATGACATTTAATTTAGGAAATTTGAAATAAATTATATCAAAATTAAATATGACCTTCCTTGTCTCATTTCATATCAGATTGTGTCACCACACGAAACAAAGTGCCTAAAATCACACGCAACACAGTGCAGCTTCCCACAACAGCTCACACAAAACCTTTTTTAACCAGACACTAAAACTCACTGTGAACACAAAAACACTTAATATAAAGTCATACTAATGTGTTCCCATACCAAATATGTTCTGATAAATAAGAGTACACAATACAATCTGATATGAAAATAAATACAATTGTTTTAGCAGGCAAATGTAGTTGGATTTTTTTAAGGCAACTTTCCATAATTTTGCATTATTTGATAGGCAGCGTTTCTAAGAGCTCTACATGGCAGTGTCTGTAATATACAAAATATACACCTTACACAATCACTCTCAAGGTTAAGAAACCTCAACTCACTCTCTCTCTCACATACACACACACACACACACACACACACACACTTGCGTAACCCTATCAGAGTTTCTCTCCTCCAGTCTGCCATACAGCTAACGGATTTGAGTCTTAAGTTGCTTGAATAGTGCTTGAATGGTTCTCAAGGTCAAAGGGCACAATCCTCTTCCTGTGTCCGGTCGCAGGAATTCTGCTCTTCTTTCCCTGCTGGCAGCTGCAGGAACTGCGGTAATTCCAGCTGCTCTTTGGTGAGTAAACCACGCTGGTCCTCCACACGACTGCACTGTGCGCGGGACAGCAGCTCAACAAGACCTGAAAGAAAACAGTCCGACAGATTTGATATGTCAGACAAATAGGGTCATATTCAATAGAATACAAGCTATGGCTTAGTGCATACTATTAGTACACTGACCAGTATGCAATATGCCTAATATGTAATAATAAATAAAACAAATTAAATTTAAAAAAAATGTAAAAATAAATAAATACAAATAAGTACAAAAATAAATTTAATAAAATATATTATATAATAATAAAATTATAAATGTTAAAAAATAAACATTAAAAAAGTAAAAATTAAAAAAAAAATACAAAAATAAAATGTAATATAAATTGATTCAGTCCTCACAATGGATGGACAAATTGGGAGCACTGCATTGTGGGATACAGTATCCTATGCAGTGCACTCTTGTTGAATGTAAATGCACAGTCAGTATATTTTCTTTCGAAAACACAGGGTAGTTTGCACAGGAGATCACACATAATGTGCACTTCCTGGCTTTGACATTAAAATTAAGGTTGCAAAGCTAGCATGTTAATATACACCATAACCTAAGACTTCTGCATTACCGTCCAAGTCCTGGTTGTTTCTGAGTCTGGGATTTGCTTTGGGTGTTGGTGAAGCGGCTTGAGTCTCCAAACCAGCTAAAACACAGAGATACACATCATTAAACAGTCTGATGAGTGAGGAAATTAGATCACTGGAAAGAAAGAAGCTGGATCTCATGTCAGTTAACACCTCCCCCATAATCCTATTTTTAAGGTCTGGTGTAATGTGGCAGTCCCTTCAGCCCTCTCCGCTCCATCTGAAGAGCTACAGCGAGAAAATTAGCTTTAAAACGCTGCTTTAAAGCCTGCAATGACCCCTGAGGTGGGTGGAGGTTTCATTTGTGTGGGGCAAAAATACTGTGACGGGAAAGTACAATAAGCCTAACGCAAACTAACACAAGAGAGTCAGAAAGAGAGAATATCACGAGAGGTTTGCATAACTAAACTCAGAGACATTGATTTAAATCCTGCAGGAAGATACTAGAAGTGGAAAAGAAAAGAAATCGAGTTCATTGCGCTAGCTCGACAGAATTTAAAGTGTCAAAAATATAGCCCTTAAGTTTATGTATTTAACACAGTTTACAGTTTGTTTTTCCTTCACTATCTAGTCCAACTTATCTACCCGTTTGTTTTTTTACTTCAATTTTAGTTTTGTAGAGATTTTCAAAATTAGACTATTTATGTCAAATGTATTTTGAACCATTTGAGCAGATCAAAAGATATTCAAGATAATAAAATGTACTGGGTCTAAACTTTTGCCTAGTAATGCACATACACAAATATACATAAACTAAAATGATAAATACGTGTAAATATATAATTATTTAAATAAAATGAGTAAAAACTTATTTAAATAATTTTAAATAAATAAATTATATAAATTTAAATAAGATGTATGGTTTTTATTTATTTTATTTTAAAAAAATTATATTTCTATTTAAGTGTAATTATATTACTAAATGCATTTGTTTTGTAGATTGATATAAATTGTGGCTAATTTTGAATTTCTCTCCAAAACAATTTAGCAATTTAAAATGAAAACTGATAACGTACCTTTAACTTTGTCCAACCACAATGTTTTGCTGGCTAGACGAAACACGTTTGTGCTCATGTTTAGAGGTTCATTTGAGCCACTCTGGAATGAAGGAGGAAAAAAAAGAAGGAAAAAAAAGAGTTTCATTTCATATACTCTGTATGTTCACAAAACTCCCATTGTTCACCGTGTCTCACATCGGTTTTTGACATGTGGGATAAAGCGTTTACACACCAGAGTAGCCTGCACATCCTGAGGTCGCAGTTGGTGTTTCTGTAGGACAGTGGAAAGTGCATCGCCCAAATTCTTGCTCGACTTTGCAATGATTCCTATCGTTCTTCCTGCAAACGCAATGTCCAGCCTGCACACAGACAAACCTGTCAACATATCTGAGCACCAGGGCTGTTATAGGTAACTAAAACTAGAACCATTAAAAAAAAAAAGTTGCTAGAAATAAAATAAAATGTCTAAAGAAACAGTCATTGGGTATTGTTGTTAGCTGATGTTATTATAATCAAAACAACTACATTAGAGGAGATGTTGGTATATCCTTAAAATCTTAAAGAGGTATTGTTTTAGTGATTTAAGGTTTACTAAACTATTGTGTTTATGAGATCATCTATGGTCTGTGCGCGTACAGTATGTGTGACTCACACAAATGTAACTTTGAGCTCCAGAGTGAGCTGTTGATCTCCAAACACAGAGCTGTCCTGATCCAGAGAAAGAGGCTGTCGAGAAGCAAACACATTCAATATCCTCACAAATATGACGGTAAAAAAAAAAAACTTAGACCACAAATATACTCTTAAAACTGGGGCATTAAAAAGCTCAGAAGACAAATATATGTAATATGTAATAGAATATAATAATTAAACTAACAAAAAGAGGTGTACCTTTACGTTTCAGCTGTGGCCATTCGCCAAATAAATAAATACATGCATAACAAAAATTACTTAAACTTTAAATTAAAAACAGATTCTAAAAATAAAAACTCATTTGAAATATTAATAAACCAGTAATAGTATCTCAATTAGGGCTGCACGATAAATCGCATGCGATATTTAACGCGCATCTTATCAGTAAAGCCGGATACTAAAATAAACCATCTATAAATATTTAGATGGTTCAGTGTTGCAGCTCATTTCACATGCAAAGCAGTTAACCAATCATAGCAGGGTTCATTTACATAAAGTCATAAACTGGATGTTTTAATGCCACTTCAAATTGAATTCTCAGAGTTAGCGAGAGGGCAGAAAATAAGATTGCAAAAACTAAACTGACAGCTTTTGCAGCAATGGAATTAAAAAAAAAATAGATATGTGACCCTGGACCATAAAACCAATCTTAAGTGTCAATTTTTTCGAAATTGAAATGTATAAATCATATGAAAGCTGAATAAATAAGCTTTCCATTGATGTATGGTTTATTAGGATAGAACAATATTTGTCTGAGATACAACTATTTGAAAATCTGGAATCTGAGGGTGCAAAAAATCTAAATACTGAGAAAAGCTCCTTTAAAGTTGTCCAAATGAAGTTCTTAGCAATGCATATTACTAATCAAAAATTAAGTTTTGATATATTTACAGGGTGCAAAAAAATCTAAATATAGAGAAAATCACCTTTACGGTGTCCAAATAAAGTCCTTAGCAATGCATATTTCTAATCGAAACTGAAGTTTTGATATATTTACGGTAGGAAATTTACAAAATATTTTTATGGAACATGATTGTGGCATAAAATGATTTTTGGCATGAAAGAAAAATCTATAATTTTGACCCATACAATGTATTTTTGGCTATTGCTACAAATATACCCGTGCTACAAATCTAAATATAGAGAAAATCACCTTTACGGTGTCCAAATAAAGTCCTTAGCAATGCATATTTCTAATCGAAACTGTTTTGATATATTTACGGTAGGAAATTTACAAAATATTTTCATGGAACATGATCTTTACTTAATATCCTAATGATTTTTGGCATAAAATAAAAATCGATAATTTTGACCCATACAATGTATTTTTGGCCATTGCTACAATTATACCCGTGCTACTTAAGACTGCTTTTGTGGTCCATGGTCACATATAGTATACAATAGACATAATGCAGAGAAAGAATGTGAAAATATTTTGCACTATTATTGAACAAACTAAACACTGAACTGAAATGATACTATTGGCTTTTCATAGCTGATTTAAAGCTGAAATTGTATTCATTTCATAATTGAAGAACTTTTACTGGGAAGCTGCTTTAAAACATTCTGTATTGTATAAATCGCTGTATAAATAAAATGCAACTTGACAATGCTTGCCATTGTTAAAGATCTTGTAGAGTCATAATGCTGAAGTCACTGGTAAGATAAATGTGTGAAGACCTCATTGCCCTCATTTAGGTTGCCGGACTGACCTTATCTCTGCCGTGTAGGTAGATGATAACATCTTTCAGAGGAAAGCCTCTCTTCTCACACAGGCTGCTCAGCATGTCTCGGAGGCTCACGCTGGGTCTGGCAGGGGCCAGGCTGGCAGTCCCGTCCGGCAGGTAGACGCAGCAGTACTTATCTGCTGTCGGAGAACCAGAACTCAAGGCTTCTGGATCAGAGATGGCCACATTGCAGCGCCCGTTCTGACAGAGAAAGAACGAAAAAAATATTAAAAACCCAATGCTTTTCAATTTTTCATCCCAACATATCTTGCAACTGCTGAAATGAAATCAAACTAACTTTTGAGACTTTTAGTTCATGTCTATTATCTTGTTTGCAGAGATGTATGCATGCTTTTGTCCACAAAAACAAATAGACTCCACTCTTAGCTATTATGCCAGTTGGAAGCAGCTTCCAGAAGAGATCAGAGATCAATTTAGCCAATATTTAAGTGTTAATTAAATGCAAAGTATATGATTTCCATACTAAATACTCTTGTATGCTAAATTGTACGTTTTCCCCACAAAGGCAGCTGGCAAAAGCAAGTAGCAAATCATGCTTCTGTTAGGCTTTGATGGCTAGTAGCTTTTTAAAAGAGGACTAGCCCTATGATTTTTACAGCAATACATGTCATCATAATACTGAATACAGTGCTATATTTTTGCGGTCTTGCACACATTTGCATTCCCTTCATGAAAAGCAAAAACATATTCATTTGGATTGATGTAGATACCTCAGCTCGCCCGAATCCAGAGACCAACTCCAGACTGCTGTTAGACTTCACTGAGATCTGAGACTCTTTACGAGACACCACCACATGCTGATATGACTGGTCAGCTGAGAAACATAAATACTGTTAGCGTAATTACGAACAGTTCATGTTCAACGGCTGAAAACACAAAAGAAAACCATGCAAACAAAGAGACATTAAAGGGGTCATGAAATGGACAATCAAAAGGTTCTCAATATTTCAACATGTTAATCTGCAATGAAAACACGCACTCTTAAAAATAAAGGCTCCAAAAGGTTTGTTTTTTTTGCAGCGGTGCCATATAGAAGAACCATTTTTGGTTCCCCAAAGAACCTTTCAGTGAACAGTTCTTAAATTAACCCTTTTGAAGAACATTTTAAAAATCTAAAGTACCTTTTTTCACTATAAATAACCTTTTCTGCATTTGAAAGTTTCCATGGATGTTCAAGATTCCACATGGAACCATTGATGCCAATAAAGATCCTTTGTTTTTAAAAGTGTGCTGTATGTTTCAGAACTCAAAACACCCTAGTTTAAGACATGAATTATTTTCTACCCTTCTGAAACAAAGATTAAAGATGGTTCTCTTTATAATTTCTGGTCTATCAGTGATTTGATTTCTGCATTTTCGCCAAGACTCCTGTTATAATCAATGATAAAATTTACACTCTGCTCTTATTTACATTGTGTTTGCATTATGCTAGTTAGGATTAAAGTATTTGTGCAGTAATTATGTTGCAGCAAGGAGATTATCGATTATCATATAGACATGACCGTGTTCGGCTACAGTGCAGCGCTGCAACCTTGGATGCGATGCGAGTAGATCAAAATACAATGCTATGATCAAAACTGTTACAGTAGGCGGCTGTTAAAGTAAAAGTTTCCGCGAGAACAGTTCTATTTATTTATTTATTTAGTCATTTAGCAGACACTATTATCCAAAGCGACTTACAAATGAGGACCATAAAAGCAGTCAAAACTAACAAAAGAGCAACAATATATAAGTGCAAATGACAAGTCTCGGTTAGCCTAACACAGTACACATAGCAAGGTGTATATATGCATGCATATATATATATATATATATATATAGAGCATGTATAGTGATGCTCATTTTGTATGCAAATATATCAGCCAATGGGCGTTTCCATTGAAGTCTCACAGCAGACACACCCCTTCAAATGAAGTGTTCAAATAAGTGGCTAAAATCAGAGTAGAAAATTACTATTTGTATATAAATTATGACCGTTTGCAATGCATTGCATGAGCCTTTTAACTATGGGCAACTTCAAACCATTAGTCACATGAAATATGCATGTTCATGAGAGCGACTCTTTTTGAGACGGTGGCATGCACTGCAGACACGTCCACAAAGATGCTGCACACAGATAGAGAAGCACGGAGTCAGATGGTACCTCCCCATGAGCCTCTCTTCTCTAACCTCTTCTTCCTGTTGGTCTTGCTGTCGGATGAGGGCACTTTCAACTCAACACTCTGTTCCAAAACACAGAGTTATACACGTATAAGGACTTTTCACTGTGGTTCACAGACTAATAGCTCACTGACACAGCATCAAATTCCCACAGTGGAGTGACAACACTTTCACACACAATTAGGCCATTTTAAACAGCTCATATCAGCACTGTATGCTACGCAGATTCATTTCAGAGCCCATATTAACAGCATTCACACTACACATGCAAGTAGTGTCAGAATAGAGTATTTCTACTGCACCCTAAACTCAACTGAAGATATATTAAAAAAAGCACTACAGATATTTTGCAATATAGACATTATGAAGCAACAAACCAGTGGAATAAAACTACTAAGTAGTTATTCAAAGGTGAGAAAATTAAAAAAAAAGACTCAAGATCCTCGATTCAAGATCTGCATGCAAAAACTTTCTATTCAGTACAGTATAAATTTAGCATTTTATAGCTTATTTTATAGCATGTTTGGGGTTTAGTCTCTGTTCCATGTAGATTAATTGGCATATAGATCCAAATGTGATTAACTCCTCCTGTAAACTAGATTCCATGATGATCAAGTTTATACTAGTTTGCAATAGCTCACTCCTGATAACCATTTTAATTGAGTATTTCCAACTAATGAAATAACTTTAAAGGAACACTCCACTATTTTTGAAAATAGGCTCATTTTCCAACTCCCCTAGTGTTAAACAGTTGAGTTTTACCGTTTTCGAATCCATTCAGCCTATCTCCGGGTCTGGCGGTAGCACTTTTAGCTGTAGCTTAGCATAGATCACTGAATCTGATTAGACCATTAGCATCTCGCTCAAAAATGACCAAAGAGTTTTGATATTTTTCCTATTTAAAACTTGACTCTTCTGTAGTTACATCTTGTACTAGGACCGACGGAAAAACTCTAATTCCAGCGTAATAATCAAGGAACTTTGATATTGATATGAACAATGATATTACGCAGCGCCTGAAAATAGTGCCCAGCTAGGTAACTTCCAATAAGCCTATTTTCAGGCGCTGCGTAATATCATTGCGCCTGCTGCACCCATGGTACGGCAGCAAAGTTCCTTGATTATTACGCCGGAATGAGAGTATAGTTCCTAGCCATATCGGCCTAGAAAAGTGCAACTTTTCATTTTCCGTCGGTCTTAGTACGCATTGTAACTACAGAAGAGTCAAGTTTTAAATAGGAAAAATATCAAAACTCTTTTTGTACCGACCCCAAACTTTTGAACGGTAGTGTAGAAACTGTATATTTCAGAATTATGTCTGAGATAATCAGTTATTACATTTGGACAGACTGAACTAGTGTATAACCGCGACCTTGTTTCAATTTTTATGGTCACTTTATGCATTTACATCCTGTCAGATCTTGGTCAGAATAAGTGGCAAACCTTCTGCCTTTAGTCAACAGTCTGACTTGATATGACTAGGGTTAGTTTGTGTCACAAGAATGACTTTAAAACATTTTTAAAAATTTTACTGATTCCAAAGTCATTTCTCAAGTAACTCCATGCCTTGAATGGATTTTAAATGAGTTACCTTTCTGTTACTAGGTGGCGTTGCACTCTTTTTGGACATTTTGCTTTTGGGCTCCGGGGTTCCAATGTTGGGTAGAGGACAACCCTCCACACAAGACAGCATGCAGTTCTGGTACAGCAGAGAGCGGACAAACCTCGTGTAGCTGTCCATTTTCATCAGCTTGAAGATCTACAGCAGGGGAAAAGAATAAACCACAGTTACAGTAAATCATTTGAGACTTTCTTTGGGTATTTATAGTCAGAACTCATGTAAAGCAATTGCAGCAAAACGTCATTTGTTATGAATAATGTGATCTTTTGGTTTAAATTTTGATCTTTTGGTCCAATTATTTGCTTATTTGTAAAGTAAGTATCATATTATCCAAAAGATGCTTTACAGCATAGTTTCTAAATATACAATCCCTTTTGCTCATTAAATTTCCAGAAAAAGTCATATTTATGATATTTCATGACAGTATTGGCATGTGATTTTTATCATGCCACCCACCCATATCTCATACCTGTCCCTGTGCTTTATTGAACATGTCGGGTGTAGGCGTCTCTAATGCGCTCTCTTCCATCTGGGCCGTATCGTCGATATTAACCGCATGCAGAGAGCTTTCAGAAAGAAAATTGTCGTAGATGGAACGCGCCTCTTTCTTCAGCTGATGGGGGACATTTGAGAGTTTTAGGGTGATAATTGCCTTTGATTTCTAGTTATGACTATAGATTCTGATCATACGGAGAAGAAACAAAGTGCAGATGCAGATGACAAACACACAAACACAAATCAATGTGAAAAAATGGCATTTCTAGTGAATATATCACTGGGATGTTATGGTAAACTAAGGGTTTTTAATCAGGGCTACTAAGATGAACAAGGAAATGCTCAGCTCAGGTTAGAAAGCATTAAATGAGGTGCAAGATCCTAGTTTTGTTACATTTCATCAATAGCTTACAATGTCGATGGAGACACATGGTCTGCTATCGTGCCCTTGAGAAAGGCATTAAACCCTAGATGGCTTTAAGAAGACTGTCCTGTATTTTTTTTCTTCTTCAATTTTACACGACTGCATATTCAACATATTAAACATCAATATAACAAATCCAGTTTTTGTACATTCAGTTTTACCTAAAAATAATATATACTAATTTTAAGTTATAATGTATCTTCCGAAATCCAAAATTCTAATTTTAATAGGATTTTAAGTTTAAATGGGTTTAAATACGATTTTCTTTTTTAAATTTGATTTTCCCTTTACTTTAAACATTTTCATCTTGAAAGTAAAAAAAAAGTATTTTGCATACCTCTTCCAGTTTAGTGGGTGGGATATTCCTGAACTTTTCACAGGCTTGGTAGAACAGAATATTCTCAGCACTCACCTCTGATTTGAGAAACTCCTGTGAGACAGGAAGAAAGAAAGAGAAAAACCACAACACTTCAATGATTCACACATTTAATTAACAAAAGCTCTAGGTGTAAATTATGTGTTTTTACGAATGAATGCTTCCTTTTTATCATGACCTGTGCATCAACTTGCTACATGCTGACACATAAAATTAGTTTTCTGAAATCCTGATCAACTGCTTGGGAGAGGAGAGGAGAGGAGAGAAGAGAAGAGAAGAGAAGAGAAGAGAAGAGAAGAGAAGAGAAGAGAAGAGAAGAGAAGAGGACATATTTTATTATGCTAATGTCTTAATGCTACTGCCAACATCATGAAAAAATAACAAATTGTTTAATTTTATATCAGAAGCGAAAGCCATATCTCTTGAAAAGTAATAGCATTCATATCATTTGCAAAAACAAGAGGTTTGTTTAACTCACAATCCCTAACAATTATATAAATCTTGTATATGGTGTGGTATATCTCTAAATGCTCACACTCAAAGAAATACACACACAAAAAAAGTTTTATTCAGAGGCCCAAACTGAGCAAAAATATGCAATTTGGAACAAATGCTGATATTTATATGTTACAAAATTAAGATGAAATTCTGATAGCTTGTAATGTAAATCAATGAGATCTTTAGAACAGTATAAAAGATACTAACATAAAATGATATAAATATTAGTGGTCACTCTATATCTTCAACAATGTCTGAGTAAGATGATATTTAAATGTTTAGTTTGATGATCAAAACATAATACGAGATCATACAATGATGATTGAGAGATGAACAAATAAACGTTCCTCAAAAGCAAAATGATATAAATATCAGTGGTCACTCTATATCTTCAACAATGTCTTAGTAAGATGATATTTAAATGTTTAGTTTGATGATCAAAACATAATACGAGATCATACAATGATGATTGAGAGATGAACAAATAAACGTTCCTCAAAAGCCTGATGATCATATTTGATATTCACTGATTTTTCGAAAAAATTGATGTCTGGATAATCAAGTAAAGTTAAGCTGCTTCAGTCCGGTAAGCGTTCATCTTGAAATATTACTAAGAATATTGAAAATTATTCCAACATTTGCTTCATAAAAATCAGCATTAAATCTTACGGTGAAGTATCGTACACCAACATGGTCTTCAAGCAGGCGTTCGAAACACACCGCCCAGCTGACCACCCGACTGGCTGGACCATCAGCACATTGAGGACCACCTGACCCGCTCGAGCTCTCTGATAGGCTGGAGCTGCTGCCACGACTGGATAACTTGAAGTTGAGCTCTGTTTGGAAATGGCAGTTAGAGATGAGTAAGACATGCATAAAAAGTGGTTTAAGTGATTGACATGATGCACTGGGTGACCCACTTGTGATCGGATCACAGGACTGACAAGAACAGTAAGTTTAGTGTAAAGAAATAACACTCACCCCCATCAGAAACCGCCTGGGTCTGCAAGACCAAACAAACACAATCAGTCTACCATGAAATCAATGGAGGCCTGTATCATAGTCATGAATTAATGCATCACAGGAAATCACATTTTAACAGCTGCATGTTTTTTTTTCTGAGCTGTACACTCACACAGGAAATGGGTGTGTTTGATGTTAGAAAAAGTTCATTAGGAGACATGACACGACTCAAACAGCATGTCACATTTAGTGAGGTTAGCTATCAGCTGACCCACTGGGCAAAAACATGTTTGTGTGATAGAAAGTTTCATTGCCACGGAAACAATGTGAAAACCTGATTCAAAATGCTTATTTTCTCAGCGGCTCATCATGCATTCGCATTTCTTAAACACAATTTGGCAAGCCATCTAAATAAAGACACACCATGGATTTTCTTTTATACAAGTTAATTGCAATAACTGCAAACTATAACTTTGCATTTTTTTTAAATCACAAAAAAAAGGAATTGAAAGCTTGTGCCCAAAGGGATTTTTGTAAGACTTACCACACTTATAGGGAGAATTTTATATAATATTATATAAATATATAATATTATATTACATAATTATATATAAATCTAATTATTACCCTACAAACTTAAAGGAAAAGTTCACTCAGAAATTAAAATTTTAGAAGACACGATTTTTTGGGGGAGAAAGCGTTATTGTGGATTATGAGCTGGTTAAAAATGTTTAAAAAGTTATAAACATCTTAATGATGGATTGGTTTCTTACAAACACACAGCTTTATGCTTTACAACATGTTAATTGATGTACTGGAGTGGTGTGGATTACTTCTGCTGTTTGGACTCTCATTCTGACGGCACCCATTCACTGCAGAGGATCCACTGGTGAGCAAGTGATGGAATGCTACATTTCTCCAAATCTGTTCCCATGAAGAAACAAACTCATCTACATCTTGGATATCCTGAGGATGAGTACATTATCAGCATATTTTAATGTTTGGATGAACTATTCCTTTTATCTAAAAGTAAACACTGCTGAATGTTTAGCATTATATTTACTTGTACGCATTAGGCAGACACTTGTCCTAAGCAGTTTACATTGCATTCAAGCTACGCATCTTATCGGTTCACAGATTCCCCCGGAATTGAACCAGTGACTTTTAGTTCCAATTACGAATCATCTTTACCCCTGAAGACATCCCTAGACTTCTCCAAAGCTGCTTTGTCAGATTCAGCTGAATGTCTGGGGACAATTTTGTCCTCAAATCAAACACACACAGAGCAATTTGTAAATGCAAAGTCCCCTCTGACTGATTGTGGATGGAAAAACGGGCCAAAACTAGTTAAACAAGCCAACCAGAAGAAAACACCTGTCATGAAACAGCAGCAACACATTTGCGACTCCTCAAAGCAAACCGCTCACTTATCTCCATGTGCCACAATCGGAATTTCACACAGTTGAAATGCTCAACTAAACACCACAAACCCAATCCATCACCTTCTGGATTGGCAAATATTCATCAAATCTTGTTTGGATTGCTGAAATGGAAGATTAAACACATGATCATGAACCTACAATGAAACAACTCTGAACATATGCACACAACCACACACCCATCAAACCGAACCTGTGACACACCCATCAAAACGAACCTCTGAGCTAGAGAAAAACCACCAGCAGGCCTGAACCAGACTTACCATCTGACCCGCTGGCACTGCCAGAGTGTTCATTTTCTTGGACATGGCCACATCAGGGTAGGGTCGACCGTGCCCACACCGAGGACGTCGCTCCAAACTGTTCCCCTCTACAGCTACGCTGCCTGCCAGCCCTCTTTCTTACAGCTCTGTCACTTCCTGTTTCAAAGGGAAGTCTTACCATAGCAACACACCGCAAGAGGAACTGCGGTTACTCTGACTAAACCTCTCTTTCGACTGTAAGCAACCCTTTGTGTGGTATGAGGCCTACGCTACGGCCCACCTACCCCTGCGCTTATGCACTCAAACGGACCTGATGAATGAGAGAATCAAATAACCAACCACGGTGGATAACCTCAACCCGTTAGGGGCCACAAATGTACTTAAACAGTCCGTAAAGTAACCAGTTTCTTGGTTACTAAAGTATAGTATGGAAACATGCACAACAGGCCTGAGAACTTGTACAATGAAACGTCCACGTCTCTTCATGTGGAGAGAAATTAAGCAACATTTTTCACAGCATTTGTCATACTGTGATGCCACATGTGCAGTGAATCAGAGCAGAGAGACTACTGTGAAAAATAATAATCAATTAATCTATAAACATAATGGATTACATATGATTACTGTCAGATCAGGGGAAGTTGTCAGAAAACTAAAGATTTATATTAACTTTATAATTGTGCTTAGCTTACGTAACAGCTTGTTAAATTTAGTGTGCCAGCATGTTCTTATATTGTGCCAATCATCAGTGGATTAACAGTCTCAATTAAAACTCAATTGTCTCTAATAAGAAACAAAAAGCAAAAACCATTTGAGGCTAAAATAATACTACATGGACAACAAATAACAAAAATAAAAGACAATATAACTAAAAGTTTCAAATATAATAAACATACTATATAGAGAAAGAGAGAGAGATTTTTTTAGTATCTTATATTAACGATAAATGCAACCAAATGCGTTTGTATTCATACATAAAATAAATTATGATAATACATAAAATAATTTGCATCCACCTGGTACGAGTTCGAGCGCATCTTGAACACGCGACTCTTGCTGAATTTTATCTGTAAAGATGCTCCTCTGGCCAGCCGAGAGAAGCTTTGGCTTAAACCTCTAATCGCCACCATATTACCTGCAGTCGTGAACACTAGAGACAGCGTGCGTTTAACCTGCGCGACACGCGTTCATGTGCGTTTGAACGCTTCGTCTTCAAACAGGTGAACGGAGAATCAGCTGACGCGTCGCGCATGCGCGGACCGCTTAAAGGACTTTTATTATGATGATATTGCACAACATAAATTAAATTAAATTAAATTAAATTAAATTAAATTAAATTAGTTAATTCTGGATCAAAACTATAAAGAGCATATCTCCCCCTGCTCAGATTAAGTCAGAATAAATGTGATTTCATTTTCTTTATTTCTTTATTTTTATGTAGGATCTTTATATGGGCATATTTTTACAGTGCTTGATAAAAAATCTTGTTTTAAAAGCTTTTTCTTTTTACATTTAGCTGCTCAGATCATGGTATGACATTTTTTAAATATGATACAGTGTTTATTTCAACCCGATCTCATGAAAGTGCGTATAAACAGTACGCCAAATAAAAACGAAAACTCGTGGTATTCAATACCACGAGTTTTCGTTTTTATTTGGCGTACTATTTATGAGACCGGGCTCTTTATTTACATGCAATCTTTTAACTTGCTAACACACATTTCCTCTATGAGGTGCCATTTTGTCCTTAACATATATTAAGGGTATATTGTGGCGATTATAATGTGTTCTTAGGTTTGTTATTTCTTTACACAGTTGTAAAAGTTAAAAAAGTTTAAGTATAAGATGTTTTATGTATATTATTTCGAGAAAATATGCATGTTGACACTGAATACAAATGCCTAGCATAACTTTTTTAATTATAATATAATACTTGCTAGATTAGTAAACAACAGATATTTTATCCATGGAGTAAATAAAGATATAGAAATGATATTATATAGCTTTCATTTTATTACAAATGTTATTGAAACCAACTAAATTTACGTCAAATGAAACAGGTATCCAAACAATTCATGTCATATATTCAACAGTTCTTCACGTTTACTAGAATCCTCTGTGCATCACTGTAACCAAATTAGTCAGCTGTATATAGAAATATATTCCTTGAGGCCATTTGCATGATTATCTGTGTGTAAATATGTGTCTATGAACAAAGCTCTCCTGTCAGAGACACTCACTCCTGACGCCTTACACTATCACATCTGAAACATACAGCCTTAAAATAGCAGGTAAAAGACTTTCTAAATATATTTGATGTGCCTTTTAATCATCTTCCTATGTAAGAGAGAATGTCTGTGTCCTTTAGGATTCTGTTTCAATACAGTTTATAACAAAATTAAAAATGGACAGCATTCTTTACTTCAGAAGTTCAAATAAAAATGATTCTTCGTTTCAAATTAAATTTCAATAAATGTAAATAAAGATGATTTGAGTATGTTTTACAGGAAAATAATATATACTAATATACTAAATACTACTATAAACTAAATACTAATAATACTCTAATTTAACATTTGATTCAGTACTTGCCATTTCTTTGTAACCGATTGTGAAATTTAGTAGAAATTCCTGAGTGAAAATTGTTAAATTGTTAAAGCAAATCCTACGCAATTTTTTATGTGTGTACGTGTGTATGTATTTATGTTATTAGTTTCTTAATAATGGGGGAAATATGTTATAATTTAAGTGAGAAAAAACTAAGAGCAGATGTCGAGTAAAATAAAACTCCTATGTGTCTTGATTTTGTATTTTTGAATCATCTTCCTCTCACGTCAGGACGTGCGATCACGAGAATGTTTAGCAGAACGCTGCTTATCATCGTCTGTCTTCATCTCTGTGAGTTTATGTGAATTTATTCATTTATTTACTGTTTTCATTTTATTTTAGTGAAAGTTTTAGTAATTTTGTTGTGTTTTTGTAATTTTAGTAGGTTTTTTTTTGTTTTGTTTTATTAATTTTAGTTTTAGTTTTTTTAATTTGAGTTATTTATTAAACTAAAAAATGAGAAGTTCCTTGGCAACTAGCTGTAATAAAATAAGCTTCAGTTTTGTATATTATTTGTATAATATTTTATTTCAGTTAATGTTTTATTTTATTTCAAGCAATGAATATGATTTTAATGGTTTTAGTTTCAGTTATGGTTAACAATATTGACAATTGCGAGGGGTTAACAGTTAGCTTACAAAAGGATGCCAATTTAAAGTTATTCTTTATATTTTTAACCATGTTTTGAACCATGAACATTATTAAATAAATATGAAACGAACTGATTAATTGTAATACACAATCACAGAAATCACTAATTCATATTTACATTTACATTTAGACATTTAGCAGACGCTTTTATCCAAAGTGACTTACAAATGAGGACAATGGAAGCAATCAAAATCAACAAAAGAGCAATGATATACAAGTGCTACAAGTCTCAGTTAGCCTAACGCAGTAACAGGTAGCAAGGTTTTTTTTTTTTATCATAATAAATAAAAAAATAAAACAGATAGAATAGAAAAAGAATAGAGCAAGCTAGTGTTAGAGGCCTTTTTTGCTTTTATTAATTGTATAATAAATCAAAAGAAAACAAAGATAGAATACAAAAAGATTAGAGAAGTGTTCGTTTTTTTTTTTTTAAGAAAACAAGCAGTTAGTAAATAAATAGAGTGCAAGTCTAAAAGGTGCGTTTTTT